CAAATGGGGCTCAGTTTACTGACGACGGAAGAGACTCATACTGAATATACACGGGTGTTTAGCCGAAGTGAGTTCCTCCTACGTGCTGAGGTCACGAGCCTACAGTGAATGATGGTCTTACCAGAACGTTCCTCTTTGGGGTGCAGGGTTGAAAGGGAGGCCCTGTTCAAGTCTCCATATCCCCGGAGAAAGGACCGTCCACTATCGCCTCATCCCTATTTGGGTTAGATGGGGGGTGAATAAGACAGTATACTCCTGCCCCCTCCATATTCTAACCCATAACGGGAAAGCTGGTTGGGTGTCTTACTGTGTCCCGCCCCCGCCAAGACAAGTGTGTGTGTGTTTTAGGGAGGATGGGGTCCGCCCCAAGGGCGGCTTGCTTAGCTGCCAGCGGGACGCGCCAAGGGCTCAGGCCTTCTGAATCCCACGGCGGGCCAGGCCGGGCTCCACGTGCTCCTCTAGACTATGAGTTTCCACCGCGAGGGGGGCTGGCAAGCAGCAGCGTCGGGCCGTTGGGCGCGGACGCCTCCCCGGCCCCGCGCCGGCCCTCCCGGAACTCCGGCTCAGGCAGCGGGCGGTCGGGGCCCTTCCCTAGCAAACGGATCTCACGGGCGCCTCGATCGCTCTCCGATTCCAAGGTAGAAAGCGGCGCCGCGTGGAAATGCAGCTAAAGGCAGGCTGCGGTGGGGAGGGGGGCCAGGCCAGGGGCTCACTCCCGCCGCCCTGGGGAGAGCCAGGCGGGCGCGGGAGGCCGGCTCCGCCGCGTGCTCACCTGCTCGTCCCGGAGGCTGGGGGAGGGGGCCGCCGGGGGCGGGGCCAGGGCGCGACTGGCCAATGGGGAGAGGGCATTCAATCGATTGCTGTATTCCCCTTGGAAAGTGGAGGGGGCGGGGGCCTGGGAGAAAGTTCGAAGCTCCGGAGCACTGGAAGGCCTTGGTGGGGGCCGGAGCCGCCCAGGGACAGGGTCAGGATAGAGGGATGGGAAGATGCCGGCCACGGCCGGCTCCCGCGGGAGCGGCAGCCCCTCCCCGGCCGCCCCTCCCTTCCCGGGCTCCGCCGGGCCATCCGCCCGCCGTCGCCGGCTCGACAGCGCCACCTGCTGGATATCAGCCCCCACGTCCGCAGTGCCAGGGCCGAGGCTCTCAGAGGCTGCGACCGCCTTGGCCTCCCAGACTTGGGAGCAGCTGAGAGGGGAATGAGCTCACTCACCTCTGATCCAGCGGCTTTGGAACCGGAGGCAACCGCCTTTTTAAAAATACGTGATGGGGTCAGAAAGGCCTATGATCGTGAGAATAACTTCTTGTCCCGCCCCTTTCACCGATCCTGACATTTCTACCACTCAGTCTCACCCAGGGATGAGGAAATAGTGATGAGGCTGTCCCAGGAAGAGGGCAGCAGCAAAGGGCGGGAGTTCAGGAGTCGCCCGCGGCACCTGGTGACAGCCAGGCCCAGCTGGAAACAGCCTTGGGCTCCTTGTGGACTCTGTTGTCCAGGGGTGGCCGGAGACATGGGCAGGGAAGCAGCTTCCTGCAGTGTCAAATGCATGAAGGGTCAAAAAGCTGTGGTAGCCGCCAAACATGGGTTGTCCTTTTCCATCCCCTCTTGCCTGCCATAGTATAGGGCTGAAATCCTCATGATTAGAAACAGGCTTCATTCATTCTTTCAATAAACATTTATTGAGCACCTACTGTGTGCTAGGCACTGTGCTAGGTGCTGGGGATACAGCAGTGACTAACACACAGTCCCTGTCCTTGAGGAGCTCACAGTCTATTGGAGGGGAAACATACATAAACACATAGCTAAGGAGCTACCATGTGCTAAGTGCTACAGTAAGAGGTATATACAAAGTGCTGTGGGAGCCCAGAGAAGGGAGTAATACATCAGCTGCTGGGGCAGGAGGAGTGAATCTCTTGACTCCATTAAGCCATCACAAAGGCAGAGATGCCATTGCCGCATGACCCTGGTTAAAATGAACCTGTCTCCTGAGGTTCTCCTCTAGCCCTCTCCCATGACTATATCAGCACAGGTTAGTTTATCAGACTAGCTAATTTAACACTTTGAGTTAGGAAAGAAACTGGACAGGGAAGTTTCTTTGGGGGCAGAGGATGTTCAAAGTAGTAACAACTCTTGGGAGCTAAGATTATAAGGGGTGGCAATGGGGTACCATGAGGGCACTGATCCAGGGAGGGCAGACCCTGGGCAGTGGAGCACCTGGGGTGAGTGCCTGTGCACAGTGGAGGTCGGAGGTCACCGACCTCAAACTTTGGTCCCCATCTCTTACCAGCTCAATCAGTAACCGTTCTCTGATGCTCACTAGATGCTTCATAGTGTGCCCTGCACTGTGGGTGATACGGTCCCCCACCCCTCAGAAGGTAACACACTCGTTGGAGAGACCTGGGAGTTCCAGGTCATTGAAAATTTAAGTAACAGTTTGTGATAATAATAGAGGAGATGTCACAGGCTGTTCAGGATCACTTGCCAAAAGAATGGCAATTGCTACAAATTTAAAATGAAGAATTCACTTGAGCATAGGCTGGTCTAGGGAGGCAGCTTCCATGAATTGAGTCTTAAAGGATGGATATGATTTAGTTGGTACTAGCGGGATGGGAAGAGCATTCTGGTTGAGCAGAACCAAGTAAAGCAAAAGCAGAGAGGTGGCCACTTTGAACAGAGGCATGTTCAAAGGCCAGAGAATCCATCGGTTTGCCTGGAGCAGTATATTGTGGGTGGGGGAGTGATGTGAGAGATGGCTGGGGAGGTCAGTTAGGACCTGACGGTGAAGGGCTTTGCCTGAAGGTCAAGGACTTGGGACCTTGTCTGAAGACAAGAATTGGTGCCCAGGCAGATGGGAGGGGGTGAGACAGGTCACACTGGGGGCTGTTGATGTGTCCAGGGAGGGGGTAAGCTCTGGGTAACTTAGAGCTGGGCTGGAGGCTCGGGAATGTGGAAGAAAGGCTGGGCGTCAGAGACATGGCAAACCACACTGGACTTCAGGAGGTGGGGGAGGGGACAGGGTCAAGTGAAGGCAGCCATCAGATGGCTCTGGAATGTCGAACTTAGAGGGGCAGGTATGTGTTGGCACCCTTAACAGAAATCGGTGAGTCATGACGTCTTCTTGTGTGTTTGTTCTCTGGAAAGGCTTTGTGTGTGTGCAGAGAGACTTTCAAAATCCAACTTTGACAGAGGGGCTATCTTTGAGGGACTGACGGACATCTGGATGGAAACGCAAGCCAGGAACTGAAGAGAAAAGTGGGGCTGGAGCTCTAGACTTCAGACTCATCCCCAAAGAGTCGAGCCGGAGCCAGGAGAATGGATGAGGCCCTTGGGGTCCCCCCCACTTAAAGTGGTAGATGTAGAGCCAGCACAGGCGCAGAGAGCGGGCGCCGGAGGAAACAGCTGAGCCTGACTAGTGCAGGAGTGGGCGGGAAGTAATGTCACGTGCCGTGAGGGCTTACAGGGGCCAAGAACTGTGAAATAGACATTCATTTGATGTCACCATGAGGGTATCAGTGACCTTCAGATGATGAGTTCTCTGGACATGGGGTGAGGGGGGCAGGGCCACCCCTAATCCATGCAACACCACTGTGCAATTTTTTTAAAAAAGGTGACCCTTTCTCAAGATGCTTTACTTTCCACCATCAGGAAATTGTCATAATAAACTGATTTATTAGAAAAAGGCACTTTAGTGCTAAGTGCTGGAAACGTGTCATAAATACACCTGCACAACCATATATGGTTCCCTCCCAGGGGAGAAGAAGGAGAACAAGAAGACAGTGGGAGAGGAAGAGCGTAGGCCTGGCAGTGGCCGGAAGGAGAGAGAGAACAACCAGGGGAGGTAGTTAGGTCAAGTGGATGGTTTGTACCGAGGACATAGCAAAGGTCCTGAGGCACGGATTCACATTAACCGGATTCACCAGATAATGTAATTGTTTCTGAAGCTGACGTGTCTTAGCTCTCAGCCTTGTCCCCAGATTTGGCAGGAGAGAAGCAAGCTAATTCAAAGAAGAGAGAGGGGAGGGGGCCAGGCCCTAGGCCGAGGGGTTGACTTTAAGAGAGAATCGGTTGACCCTTCCTCAGAAAGAGGAAAGAGGAAAGCAAGGAGCCATGTAGAGACAGAAGTGCCATGGGAGCTCACACCTGCTGGCTCCTGTCTTCTCGGTGAAGGAGGAATCATGGTTAGGTGCGAAAGTTGGAGCCGAGGGGCAACCTCCACCCGAAGAGGTCTGCCGCAGCCATCATGGGAGTGGATGGGTTGACAAACCTACGAGGTGGGTAGAAGGCGGGCTGAGCAGCAGGCGCTCACGTGGAGGAATGGAGGTGGACCCAGTGTGCATTGCTACATGACTATCCCTAGCAACGCCCGACAGAGGGGAAATATCGGGGCTGAGATTAATCGAGGGAACCCAGGATCTGGAGCGCAGGCCAGGGTGCCAGCGAAGGCTGGTATTAGAGCCCAAGCCCGCAGCACAAACATTCAACTAATTCAGCCCTGCCTGAGGACTTTGTGGCTGGGTACGACCCTGTAGGGGCACTTGGCCCCTCTCTAACCCTTCAGCAAAGCACTCTGGGGGTAGCCAAGGTTCCAGCGGGCTGGCAAGTGGCTGGTGGACAATGAGGCTGGCTCCGGGAAGAGGACCTCAGGCTAGTGTGGGGGGCTGCTCCCTGGCCTGAGTACCCTTCCCGCTCTTCATGCTTTCTTCCCTCTTGGCCTTCTCCTTGTCCCTTAGAACTGCATCTTCTCCAACACACACACCCATCGAAGCTCTCCTACCCTGGACCTGCTCCAGCTCTGTGGCATCTCTTCAGATTTGGGGGCTCCAACCTGTACCCCATAGTCTCAGAGCAACTGAATCTTGGTTTGTACAAAGGAACTAGAGAATGCTTTCCCTTAAAAGAAAATCCCCATCTCCGTGGCTGACCCGCAGAGAGACACACACCTTTGAAGACCTCACAGCTACACCCCCGTCCTTCCCGAAGAAACAGAGTGACAGACCCACGAGTACACACAAATACATACAGAGATATTCACATATGGGGTAGTAAATTCCCTGTGGTGGGAACGGAGATGGTGAAATACAGGCAGGCGAAAAGACTCTTCTCATGAAGCCCCTGCACCAGCCCTGGTCACAAACTTTTCAGGAGGTTTCCCCTCCATCACCAAGTCAACCCCATTACCCGGACAAGAGCATATCCCCTAGTGCTCTTGAAGGCCATGGTCCGACACCAGTGATGCTCAAACTCGGCGTGGCTTGGCCATAGTGATGCCAGGCAGGGGTGTGGGATAGGGGGTCCGGTGTATTGCCATCCCACTGAAGTGTAAGGGCAGGTGTGCTACTTAAGTCAGTCTCTGCTAGAGGAAGTCCGTATCAAAATGCTGCTCAATTTTGCCTGGTGGGTCACACTTCCCCCCGACCCCTCCGTTTATATGTCATGGGGCTCCATCTTAATGAGGGAAGTGGGGTTGAACGGGGAGAAGGGGGCTGGGGTTGGGGATCTGGTCAGCAGGCTCCCAGATGCGGTCACATTAGGCTCAGCCATAAACAGGGACCCTGGGCCTGAGGAGAGCTCAAGTTCAGCCACCGGGGTCAGCCCAACAGTGGGGCGGCTGGGAGGAGAGAAAGTCTGGTTCCCCAGAAGGCTCGGATTGTGGGAACCCCTTGAAACCACCTGGGTTGGAAGTGGCTGAAGGTGAGCCTGATCCCTCAGGAGCTCCCTCAGGGTCTCTTCAGGAACCAGCAGCCCCTCCATGGGGGCCCCAGTCACCATGCCCTGCACATATGAGGAGGGCCTCAGCGGCCCCTCCTTGACCCCAGGGGCTGCTGTGGGGCCGGAAGTCCTGATGAAGGCAGCAATGACAGTCCCGGGGGGCTGAGAGCTGGGCCCTGCTGGGCCAGCCCCTGTGACTGAGGGTGGCGCTGAATTGGTTGGACGGTTGGCCCCGGCCAGAAGTTGGGGGAGGCCACTGAGAATCAGTGGTGCCCCTGGTGCTGCCACCTGGCTCTCTTGGAAAGTGGTGTTCAGGGGGAAGGAGGCCTGCAAAGTGAAGGTGTCCTTGAAGGTTGAAGCAGGCGGAACACTCTGGAGAACGAGCTGAGTTGAAGCAGTAGTACTGGCGGGAGGCCCGTTGGTCAGCACTGTGGTCAGCGGGATTGTCTGCAGGGTCAAGGCGGAGCCTGACCCCACAGGGGCCACTCCGAGGTGGATGTTGCTGGGCACAGAAGTACTGTGAAGAAATAGAAAACAGATTTGATTAAGGCAGGAGGCATCTCCCACTGGCTAGGAAGGAGGGCACAGGAGGAACGGAGCCGAAGGCGTTCTGTTTCGTTGTTGTTTCAGCTAACATTTATTGATTACTTAGCATAGGTCAGGGATCATTCTAAATGATTGGCATGCGGTATTTCACTCAATCTTCCAAACAGCCCACGAGTTGAATAAGATTAATAAACTGATTTTACAGCTTGAGGGAACTGAGGCACAGAGAGGTTATGTAACTTGCCCTAGACCACACAGCTAGTAGCAGGGATTCACATCTAAGCTTTCTGACACCAGAGCTCATGTTCCTCATTGCTCCACCACACTGCCTTCCCTCCTCAGAAAAGCATCATGGTGACCCAAGCCAGTGTAGCGAGAGCTACATACATATAACTCAGACAAAGCCCAACCTTTTCAGGGAAAAGTGGAGGCACCCTAGCATGGACACGAAATAGCGAGAGCTTTCCTGGTGGGCCTGGAGGGTCTGAGGAAGGTAGAGCGGGCGTCTCTGTAACATTCTCTGTTGCCTCTTTTCTGGAGTGGAGGAGGCTTGGGGGGATGGGCGCAGATGTGGACGCCCCTGATGGCTGCTTGCGGACACTCTGGGGTAACAGGAACAGCCCCAGCTGGCAACAGAAGCCCCCTAGGTCAAGTGCTGGCTTTGCCATTACTTTGGTGTGTGACCTCAGGCAAGTCACTTTTCCTCTTTTGACCAATAGGTGCCCCACTGGCTTCCCAGGGATTCTGCGAGGGTCCCACGAGACCAGAGACACAGCGGAGCTTTGCAAGAAGTTGAAAACTGCCCCCAACCACGAGGTAGTAGGGGAAGACTCGTAAGGACTTTGGTGCCCTTACCTCACGGCTTTGGTGAGTTTGGCCTGGCTCTCTGCTGGAGAGACAAGCACGGTGGAGGTAGTGGGGGTCTCCTCATCTAGAGACAGTCCCAATTCTAGACTCGCAGATGGCTGTAGACCAACGTGCTGAACCTTTGGCTTTTCCCAAGAAGGGCTGCCCTTGCCCTGGGGGGCGGCTCTGGACGAGACCCTGGAGCTGGCTCGCCGGGTGGTGCTGGTGGAGGAGGTTGAGGGAGTGGAGGCCTGAGGGGATGTGGCTGTGACTTCACTTCTCTCGTCCTCATCTTCAATCACCACCAGGTCCTTGGGCATCTCCTTAAACTGGTACACCAGCCGCTGCCCTTCCACTTTGGCAAGGATGCCTCTTTGGTAGTAATATCTGGGGGACGAGGGGAGAGGAGTAGGGAGTTAGCCAGGGACACACCGCCCTCCAGGGCAGGGCAAGCATGAGGCCGAGGCTGGCCAGGGAGCCAGACAGGAGCCCAAGGGCAAGGGAAGGGGTAAGGCTTGTATGGAATTTCTGAGATCTCCCCCAAGGACTCAAAGGGTCCAAGAAAAGGGATTTCAAATGCCAACTTCCAGTCTGCTTTGGGGCAGAGGACAGGGGGTAAGTGAAGGATGAGAGGACGGATGATGGGGGGCTGAGCCATCCGCCAGCCTGAGACCAACTGTGGGTAACTCAGGCCAGTCTCCCTGGGTCTCTGGCTTGCAGAATGTGAAGGAAGCCCTTCTTGGGGATGGGAGGCCCTAAAATTCTCTTCTCCTCTAAAAAGAGGAAAAGCTAGGACAGAAATGCAAGAGGGATGGGATTGTTCCTCCCAGAGGGGGCCTGGGAAATGGGCTTGGGAGCAAGCAAATGGCAGTCAGGGAACCCATTTCCCTAAAGGACGAATAGCATCTCCATTAAAGCAAGAGGGAGTCCTTGGACATGGGGAAGAGCCTGGTGCCCCAGCCCCAGGGCAGAGCTCGGGGCTCCAGCAGCTCCTACCTTAGTGCCCGCCCCATTGTCTCATAGTTCATGTCAGGCTTGTTCTTCTGCTTCCCCCACAGCTTAGACACCGCCTTGGAGTCCACCAGCTTGAAGATGCCTTTTTCTCGCTGGGTCCACTTGATGTACTTGGGGCAGGTGTTCCTGTCCTGCAGAAGTGCGAGGAGGAACTCCCACAGATAGATGGTGCTGCCTGCAGAGGGGCAGGCGGTAAGCGACGGCCCAGACACCCTGGCTCCTTCCCACCTCACCTGACCCCCAGCCATACCTTTGCCATCCTTGGATTTCTTCCTTATGGGGATGCTGGGGTCAGTGACAGGTGAGGTACTGCGGTTGCCCTTTGTCTTCCGGACTGTGAGGGGAAGGGAAGAGCAGGATGAGGCTGAGAGCACGGTGAGTGCTCCAGGGCAGACTCCTGAGAGGGAGGGCCCGGGAGCTTCCCGAGTTGGGTGCGACAAGGCAGACTAGGAAGAGCCGGGTCACCAGGGCTGTAGGCCCAAGATCACTCTCCACAGTCACAGCCCTCAGGTACCTGAACCTGCCCAACAGTCTGCCCTCATTTTCAGGCCCCAAAGCAGACCAGAACACCACTACAGTGTGGGGCAAGGGAGCACTTGCAGATGAGTCCCGTTTAGAAGAAGAGAATCCTCCCAGCCTAAGGTTTGAAATGAAAAGGCAGCCTAAAGACGTGACTGTTGTGCAGGTGAGTGTGGCACTGGGGTTTTGGTGGCCACACTGACAAAGCACCATCAACCAGCCATTGCCTGAGTAAATCAATAACACTCGGGCTTGGGAAAGCCCAAAGTCCTCTCCCATATATGGCCTCAGTTCCATAAGCTCCCCAGAAGGAAGATAAGCACATGGCAGGAGGTGTCTTTTATAGGCAGAGGCCTCCGGAGGGCCAGGGACTGGCCAGGGGGCCAAGCCTGGTGTCTAAATGCCCAGCCTAGGATCCAGCCCATTGGAATCACTGGCATTTCTGGAAGAGTTTATATATATGCTGGGCAGACAGGAGAGGCTCAGATGTCAGGCTTCCAGCAGGCCGACCAATGAGCCCAAGGTTTACAGAAGGGAGGCCTTTTCGTCCATCCCTGCCGCATCAGAGAGCTGTCCTCTTAATGTGTTGATGAGCCTTGACCCACTCACCCCTTCTGGTCTCCCTGACCTCCCCCACCCGGCTCCTATGGCCCACCCCTTAAAGACACACACACACACACAAACACACACACACACACAGACACACACACACACACTTTCTCTTTCCCTCTTTCTTTCTCTCTCTCTTTCTCTCTTACTTCTCTTCTTTGATTTTCCAGTCTTCTTAGCACTTTCCTCTCTGGGGACCTTCTCCTCCAGACAGTGCCCCTCCTGGTCACCAGTGTCACCCGCCCTGTTCAGGGCATCGGGCTCAGAGACAGGAAACACGTAGTTGGGCAGAGTGGCGGCTGGAGCAGGGTCTGAGTCTGGAAGCATTTCGGAGGGGCTGACTGCAAGAAGAAAGGCCTGAGGTGGCTGGGGCTCGGTGCAGGGTGGGAGCATGGTCTCCCAGCACTCGAGAGCATGGTGGGCTCCCAGGGAGGGCAGAGGGGCTGTTCCCCACAGCCCCAGACACAGGATACACCTGAAAACGCCTCATGTGCCTCGCACCAGGAGGAGAGGAAACATCTGCAGAGCTGTGGGCACGAGCTGCCCCAATCACGGCTGCCACACGTATAGGCTGCTGCCGGTAGTGGGGACGCTCCAGGCAACAGCCAGGGTAAAGGGCCCCCTTGATTTAGTCATTTACTCATTTTACAACTGGAAAGAGACTTAGAACATCCTTTAGCCCAATTCTTCTGCTTTCCTGATGAGGAAACTGAGACCAAGAGATGGCAGGGCATGTGCCCAATGTCACACAGCAAGTTTGTGCCAGGTACATGTAGGCACTCAATAAAAATTTGTTGAATCCTGAACGAATATTAGTGACAGAGTTGGGACTGGAGATGCTAGGACTCTTAACTTGCACAGGGCTTTCTCTCCTCCATTGTATCCCAGCGCCCACTTGGGAAGGGGCAGTCAGGGCCAGGCATCCCCCTGTGGAGTCAGAGCACATGGCTAAGGGGGGACTGGGGGAGAAGCCTGCCTTGGGGCCTTCTGGGGAGGTGGGGGCCAACCTCCAAGAACAGGGAAGGGGATGAGGAGGTTCCAAGCCTAGAACATTTCAAATAAGCCACACCCTATGTAGTCTTCCTGGGAGCCCAGCAAGACAGCAGAGGGACCTGAAAAGTCAGGCCTGGTGGCATGACGGTTAAGTTTGCGCACTCCGCTTCAGTGGCCCAGGGTTCACGGGTTCGGATCCTGGGCGTGGACTGATGCACTGCTTGTCAGGCTGTGCTGTGGTGATGTCCCATATAAAGTAGAGGAAGATGGGCATGGATGTTGGCCCAGGGCCAATCTTCCTCAGCAAAAAGAAGAGGATTGGCAACGAACGGATGTTAGCTCAGGGCTAATCTTCCTCACACACACACACACACAAAAAGTCACCCTGGCCAATGGCAGTCAGCCTTAAAAAGGAAGGAAATGCTGATACATGCTACAACATGGACAGACCTTGAGGACATTATGTTAAGTGAAATAAGCCAGTCCCCAAAAGACAAATACTGTGTGATTCCACTTATATGAGGTACTTAGAGTAGTCAAATTCATAGAGATGGAAAGTAGAATGGTGGTTGCCAGGGGCTGAGGGGAGGGGAAATGGGGAGTTGGTGTTTAATGGGTATGGAGTTTCAGTTTTGCAAGATGAAAAGAGTTCTGGAGATGGATGGTGGTGATGGTTGCACAACAGTGTGAATGTACTTAATACACTAGACTGGACACTGAAAAACGGTTAAGGTGGTCAATTTTATGTTGTGTATTTTACCACAATTTAAAAATTGGAAACAAAGTCACCCTGGCCATCTTTTCCTTGTCTATGGTGCCCTCCTGCCCCCTCCCATGCCACTCACAGCTCAAGAGCACATTTCCATGTATATCGGTGGGTGTGTGTACATATGCCTGCGTGCATGTGTGCCTGAGAACCCAGGACATGGATGTGATATTTTTAAATGGAATTTTTTGTTGCCTTGAGTTAAGGCACCGGAGTTCAAACTTACAGATCTGCTTCTCATCCAGGATGTTGTTGGGAGACTCGACATTGAGCAAGACTTCAGTGGTTGACATGGTTTGAGAGGTTGCCTCATTGTCATCTGGTTCCAGGTTCCATGGTGGCAGGGAGGGGGTGAGGGGAAGAAAAGTTCTCTTAGGGCACAGGGCAGAGGGTACAGCTATAATCAGGGCCAGCCCAGCGGATGGTGCTAAGGAGCCAAGGGAAGGGACCAGTGCACCTCCTACCCTAATTCTCCACCTTTTCTCTACACCCACCCCAGCTGGGTTTTGGCCCACTCCATCTAGAAAGATCATGAATCCATTAATATGGTTCCCTCCTCTATGAAGTGATACTACCTTTTGATGTCCTAACCCCCCCATCTAATTTCCAACAGTTGGGGGCTTTGCCCATGCTTCATGGGGTCACTAGGGAGCCACCATGGGCTACCATTCCCTAAGGACAGAACCCATTTCTCCACCGCGCATTCCCTGCCTAGGAAGGGAACAAACCTGCCAACAAAAAACTGCCTTCCAGGATCTGATCCTGCGTCATACACAAGGTCCCATCGGCTATGATGCCATTGTGAACATCGTCCAGCTCTAGTCCTGAGTACAGATGCAGTAATTCGGGGTAGGGTACCTGCTCCACGATCACCGCTGGGAACACCGAGGGGTCTTCCAGCTATGGAGAAGATAGGGATCTGGTTCAAGGCCCACCCACCTCAGCCAGGAAGCCCTCCCCACCAGAATCTGGCCCTCCTTGCAATTCCTAATTCTTGGAGCCCTCAGGGGCTGTCCTTTGTATGGGATGACATTGCTCCAGGTCCAGCCTCACTAGGTGATGCTTGGAGTGGGTTGCAGAAGTGGGTCAGCTCTATACCACCTACACCCAATCAAGGGCGGGCAGTTTTGATTGGTTGTAGTTATGGGTTAATCCATGGACAGGGTTAGTGCTCAGTCTATGAGAAGGGTTAGGCTCATTCTAAGGCCTGTGGGAAGGGATTAGTCAATGGCGAGTGTGAGGGGCCCTGATCTATAGCCAGGTGAGGGACTCACTCTACAGTCAGGGTTGAGTACCCACAGTTAGAGGCTCATACCGTGGACATCTTAGGGCTCAGTCTGTGGCAATGAAGACGGAAGAATAGAGGCATTACAGAGGTAGACAGTAAGGGCCCAGTCCCTGTCTGGATGGGGAAGAGAGTTCCAATTTCCAGCTTGATTCAATGGGTTCATGGAGACACTGTTCATGTTAAGGGGGAACCCAGGAGGAGGAACAGGTTTTGGAGGAAGATAAGGGGAACAGTGTCTGGATATGGTGAGTTTGAGGTACTTTTGGGAGATCTAAAATAGAGATACCTATCAGGGAGTCAGAAATAAGTGTCCAAGAGCTCAAAAGGGTGGTCACTAAATCCCTTGGAGTGGATCAGATCGTCAGGACGAGAATTCGATCCCTGGAGAACATAGTTGTTCTAAACTTAAATGAAGCTAAATAAAAAAGCAGTGTGATTGTAACTGTTGTTTCTAAAAATTATGTATAGAAGGAAATATACCAGAATGTTCATAATAATTATATTTTGGTTGTGGGACCTTGGGTGATTTTTTTTTCCCTTTCTTTCTACTTTTTTGTATTTTCCAAATTTTCTTTCATGGGACTGTTAACACTTTCTTCGTGAAATAAGAATGAGAATGGTCAGTTCTGTCTAATGTTCTTGAAGGATCTAGAAGAATAAAAATTGATAAAACGCCTTTGGGTTTGGCCACTGGGCAGTCACCTGGTTAGAGCAGTTTCAGGGGAGTGCTGGCGTCCCACTACAATGGATCTCCGAGAGAACGGCCTGAGGAAGGCAGGCAGGTGTAGTGACTAAGGCCACGGAGTGGAGAGCTGTCTGTTCAATACGATAGCCACTAGCCACGGTGACTATTTAAATTTAAATGTAGAGCCAGCCCTGATGGCCTAGTGGTTACAGTTCGGCACTCTCACCACTTCGGTGGCCTGGGTTTGGTTCCTGATCACGGGACCACACCACTCGTCTGTCAGTAGCCATGCTGTGGTGGTGACTCACACAGAAGAACCAGAAGGACTTACAACTAGAATATACAACTATGTACTGGGGCTTTGGGGAAAAAAGAAAAGTGTAAATTTAAACATTTTCAAGATTAAGAATTCAGTTGTGCTAGCCATAGTTCACGTGCTCCATAGCCACCTGTGACTAGTGGCCCCATACAAAACAGCACACGTATAGAACACTTCTAGCATTTCAGAAAATTCTATTGGATTGTGCTGATGTAGAGCCAGACAGCCTGGGTTTCAAACCAAGCTCTGCTACGTCTTAACAGTGTCACCTTGGGCAAGTTACCTGGCTCCTGGGAGACTGGTACTGTTTATGTCTTAACTAGGGTGGTGAGTTCATGGGTGTTCATTTTAGTTATTCTTTATATATATATATGATTATGTATGTATATATGATTTATATAAGTATAAATACGGATATATTTATGTGAATTGCGTACATATAATTTATTCACTCTTTTGTATTCATGATACATTTTGCAATAAAAATTGCTTCCTAAAAAGAGTGAGAGAAGGGAGGTGAGAAAGTAAACACAGAGGGTGGAGACTGTTGGGGAGAAGAAAGGAGCTAAGAAGGTGGTATTTTGAAGCGAGGGCAGAAGGAGGCAAGGTTTTCTTTTCAGCTTGGGGAGACCTAAGATGTTCTAGGTTGAGGAGAAAGGTCTGGGAGGTCTGAAAGGCGCAAGAAAGAGGAGGTGATGGGTGGTTTGAGGTCTTGAAGGCAGCAGGGGAGAAAAGATTAAGTATAGGGGTAGGAGTTACGCTTGGAAGGAAGAGGGACACTTCTTTCTCCCAGGCCAGTGGAAAGGAGATAAGATCAGTGATGTTATCAATAAAAGTGAGAAGGGAGGGAGACCGAGGGTGTCCTTGGCTTTGAGCTTCTCTGTGGATTGGAGGAGAGGCTGTCTGCTGAGTGTGGAGCAGCAGGTGTGGGGTTGGGAAGGTAAGAGCAGCTTCTATGAAGAATAGCAACAGTTGCTGAGTGGACTAGAAACAAGTAAAAAATCACTAGTAGCATTGAGAACCCAGGTAAGGTTGGATTTTTCTTCCCTTCTCCTCCCATGATGCCTTCCATGAGGCCAGGCACAGCAGAGGTGTTCGATAAAACTGAGCAACTTGAGGTGACATAGCGGGACAGAAAGCACAATGTGCTCCAAGTCCACCAGGGGGCAGCCTTTGGTAGGCCGCTAGAGATTGGACACAGTTTTCCATCCTCACAAGGATTTAGGATAGACAGCAGCAGAATTAGGCTGGGGTGCCCTTAGAGATAATCCAGCCGGATCTCCTCTTGGTAAAGATGGGAAGATGGCAGCCAGATAGGGTAGGGGACAGGACTTGCCCAGGTGATACTGTGGCCAAACTGGGATCAGAACCCAGGGCTCCTGACTCCTAATCTTCCAGTCCTTCTACCATACCTGGCTGTCTCTTCTCCGGTTTGTGGAAGGAGGGGAGTGGAGGGCAGCGATGAGTGTGCCAGGACGCCATCCAATGGGTACCTCTACGTGCCCTAGTGTGGGGCAAGATATGGAGCAGTAGGGACCTGAGCACCAGAATTCTATCCTATTTTCCAACTTCCTCCCACCAGAAGAGCCCATTTCCAGTTTATTCTAATCCTCAAATCGAGGCCAAAATGATGGTTATGGAAGGGCCCATTAACTGGGCTAGAGACATGAGTCTGAGGTGCCAGGGGTTGGACTCTGCCCTGCGGTTCCAGCTGGCAGTGTTCACTCTCGCTACATGGTTGTCCCAGCAGCTTTCTCATTGTGATACTAGGGGTGAAGGGAAGTGGCTGAAAACGCACATGAGGATCAGTGTACACCTGTGCATTCAGCGCACATTGCTGACTGACTGACAGCTCAGCTGGTGTCCTTAGCAGCTGCTTGGCTGGCTTGGTGACTGCATGCGTCCCTAACTGCACGTGGGCAACTGGCTCACTAAATGACCGCCGATGACTACTGACTGGCTGTGTGAGTGACTAGCTGGCACACGGTCTGGCTGGCATGCAGGCCCAGTACCCTAAACCTAGTAGGTGCTTGATCAATATTTGCTGACTGGCTAGCCTGCTGGCTGGCTGGCTCACTGGCTGTCTGCCTGCCTGTCCGTGTCTCTCTGATCGTCTGTCCAGGCTCTGTTCTCTGGAGCCGTACCTGGTGGATATCATCCATCCCGTTGCTTGCAAACTCAAAGATCAGGTCACTGGGCTGCAGGGTAATAGCCATGCTGTCTTCTCAGAGAGCTGACAGCAGGATTTGCAGGGCCCTCTGGAGCTGCGGGGTTTTCTTGAGGAAGAGATGCTGCTCAGGTACCTTGGAGCTTAGAGCCTACACCCCGAGCCACAGTAAAATAGGGGGTGTAGAGAGCTGGAGTAGGTGGTGGCCTAAGCCAGGTTCAAGGCTGCATGCTGGGCTGGGCCAACCGCAGGAGCGACCTAGGGAGAAGGGAGAGATGGGGGCAGTGAGTAAGTCACCTTCCTTGAGCTCTGTTCCCAGGACAGCTGGCGAGCCAGGGGGACCCTGCCATGGCAGGGCAGACTGCCAGAAGAGGGATGGCTGAAAGGGGAGGACAATGGGAGAAGAAGGGAGAAGGAGAAGAAAGGAGGCAGGTAAAGAAAGAAGGAAACAGAGGAAGTTGACTGAGTCACCTCCAGTGGGAAGTGGCTGGCCTCAGTGCCAGTCTGGGTCACCAGCATCTGCACCTGAGCTAGCCCTGAAGCTACACAGCCTCCCTCCCTTGCCTCCCCCCTCCTCTAGAGAAGGTGACAGATAGAGGCACTTCGGGCTCTCTGCACCCTGAAGATTAATCCCCAGGGTGCAGCCACAGGGGAAGTCAGGGCACCCCAGGGCCTCAAGGATGGGGCAGCAGCATGAAGAGTCCCTAAAATTCCCTTGGCTTGGGAAAGAATCTTGTGTGAGGGGGTGTGGGTGAGGCCACCTCAGTGTACAGAGCGCTCTTCCAGACTCTGCCTGGCTCAGTTTACCTTAGGAGTGGGGGCCACTTAGTTCTGAAGGGCCGAGTCTACTGAGGAAGAAATGTCTCCACTGTGGGGGTTATGTTGTCAGGGCCAGAGACAGCTTGACCCTGCTTGCAGGGATGGGACTCTCAGACTCAGCCACACCTCCAGAGGGCCTGGAGACAGAGGGACAGGTGGGCCACATACCCTGCACCCTCGTCACCGCCCCGCCACCGCTGCCCGCCGGAGAGGATGGCCTCTGGGCCGTGTGTGGGTTTGTGCTCTTGGTTCAGCTTTGCTTTCAGTTTCAAGACTGAACTGTCACCCTGGGAACTTGTGAGGAGAGCCCCAGCTGGGGGAGGGGCTCACGGAACCTTCCCCATCCTCCAGGGCTGGCTCAGCGCCCCCCCTTTTCCAGGAAATCTGTCTGCTGCTGCCCACATGTCTCTCCTCTCCCAGAATGCCCCTCGAGCTCACAGTCTGCACCTCAGGCGCTCACATGGCACCTGGGCCACCAATTGTTTCCTGTGCTTGCTGCTCTTCTACGCGTTGTCTGTGGCAGCACCAAGGCCTGCCTCCCAAAGCCCTAGCTCCCGCTCCCACATCCCTCCTGCCAGCCTGCTCTGCTCCTCCAGCCCTGAACCCTTAGGCTTCTCCACTTCCAGGTACCACGTCTTTGGCCCTTAGGGTTCTGTTTGTAGTGGTATCCGTGTGTGTGTACGTGTGGAGGGTCTATGAACAGCCTGCTTCAAGCACGATCGCCTGAAGAACTGGGTCCATGCACCATAGTAGGAGCTACACACTTAACCCCTCCCTCCTTGACACTCCTTTGGCAGTGCCAAGGTGGCAGAATCTCCTCCTGGCCCAGAAAGAAATGAGGAACTTCAGAGAGGGGCAAAGGGGAGGAAAGGGAGGGGGACCACGGGTGACCTCCCTGATGACCGCTCTCCCCCACAGGAGACACCCAGGCCTCTCCCACTTCCTTTCCGTTAGCCCACAGGGCTGGCTCCGCCCTCTCCCCACCCCCACTCTTACCCCCACACCTTTCCACCCACCTCCAACAAAATACTTTGAAAAGTCGCTCAACTCAACTTGTCAGGTCTGAGTTTCCCTTTGGGTGAATGAGAGGCTGAGCCCTGCTTGGACGGAGAGAGGAGGCACCGGGAAACCACAGTCCTTGCCTGAGTTCCACCCCGCCCCCACCCGACCCTGCCGGTGACCCAGTCTCCTGTGGCCTGCCTGAGAAGCCTCCCAGGGCCATTTATGCTTGGAAGGTCTGTCTCCCCTAGCCAAAGCGCCCAAGGCCCGCATTCCGCAGCTCCCTGCCCTCCCACAGGCCGGCTGTCTGCCCCCAGGAAGCATTCTCATACTAATCAAATGAAAGGCGATCACTTTCACCTAATCCCACTTTGTCTAAACACGAAACTCCTGTGTCTGCCCCTCTCCCTCTCAAGGTCATTCTGCCATGGCCCTTCCCTCCAGGTTTGCTCATCTCTTTGGCTTCTCCTCCCAGATCAGTGTTGCGTGTTTTTGAGTTCACTGCTGGTACTCTCTGCCTGGGGAACTTCTGTGCACTTCCTTACCTCCCCCATTAGACAGTGGCTTCCTTGAGAGCAGGGATCACTACACTGGTCATCGATGGAACATTAGCACCTTGCACCGTGCTTGGCATGTAGCAGACACTCACTTCGTGTTTGTGGAACGAACACAGGAATAAATGAATGAATGCTCCTGGTCAGTCAGTACCAGTGAGGTGTGTTTTCTGGGCAATGAGTATATCCATGTGTACACTGGGTGTGGGTGGCTGTCATGCACCCTGGCTTATACGAGAGTGAGAGAAATGTGTGCACACCATGTGTGTTACATCTGTATGTTTTTGCATTGTCATTTACAATGGGAGTCTGCTGTGGGTGTGCAAACACACCGTAGATATACACATGTGCAGGGCGTGCCCCTGTGTCCCAAGTGTGGGGACATGAGCATGAGAGCCTCTGTGTGTCAAAGGGCTGCCATGGTCAGGCCAGCAGAGCCACAAGCTCAGTGACCGGTTCCTCCTCCTCCAGGCCTGCCTTTGTGAGAAGGACAACCCCGAGCTCATGTGCCTGGAAGAGGCTGCAGTGAAGTGGGCTGGGGTGGGGCCCAGGGTTCTGCTGGGGAAAGGCTGCCATCACTGCTCCCCTCACTTCCCCCGGAAAATTCAAAGTCCTATGTTTCCCAGGAAGAGAGTGCCAGCAGCAGAATATGTATGTGGCCCACGGGTCCTTGGGGTGAGCCCCCCGGGGCCACTCTCCTAGGGAGGCAGCACTGCACTACATTGGGTGGAGCTCTTGGCCATCAACGCAAGGAGGGGAGGTTTGAAATAAAAGAAAGAGACAAATCCAATTGCATTCTTTAAGTGTCCACATGTCTAAGTATCTAAACTGAGGACTTGGGTGGTGCAGGTTCTGCTGGCCCAGGATTGTGAGGACTGTGAGGCTGCACCCAGCACCCAAGGCTGATCCTGGTGTCTCGTTCTCTTCAAGCTCAAGCCTGAAGCTAAGGTGAAGGGGTGTGGGGGAGGAAGTAGCTATCCTACTCTCTTGGCCAAGTCTAAGAAAACTCTCCCCTTCCCCCCTTCTTGGAACCTTCCAGTCCAGAAAGTTTTGCCCCTCCCCCTTCAGATGTTTGAGGATTTGAAAGTGAGAGGTGGGGAGAGGCTCATTTGCATGTTCACTCTCCCCAGCAGAGGAGTGAACCACCCCCCCCCAAGTCCCTCAAAATAACCACCCTCTCCCGGGAACCTGAAACCAAAGAAGCCACCACCACAGACGGCCCACCCTGCTGGAGGCTGGAGAGGCCCCCACCAGGGGCTCCCCTCCCTGGTATCCTTACAGACACACTGGGACACAGCTTCAGTGGCCTAGAGCCCTGGACACTGCCTCGCCGGTGAGTGGGGGGTCGGGGGTTACACACAGACATTTGGCTCAAGGAATTGAGGCGCCTGGGACCCCTTAGTAACCGGTGGTGAACTCCCTGACCCCACACCATCACTGCACAGCCCACAGCTGGCCCCAGTCAAAGTCCGCTCCAAGGGTGGCAAGAGCTCTGCTCCCTTTGCTCCCTTTGAGGCCACTGCAGGATCCCTGCTTACCAGGGCCTGTCCTACTCGGGCTGAAAGCAACGCTTCGGTGAGAGTATATGGCAGCAGACACTGTGTGTGAGCGTGTGTGTGCCACAGGAGGGAGCGAGCAAGCGAGGGTGCCTACATCCCCGGCCTGCAAATGCACACCTCTAGCTCTCTGTGGTTCTGACTGCATTTCAAAACCAAAATAGCAAAATAGAAGTGGTTTGGGCTGCTCCTGCGTCACCACAGCTGGGCCCCCTTCAGACGTACAGACCCTTTCTGGGGCTGTCACTGGAACACGTCAAGCGGTGTCCAGCACGGACCCATCTGGGCCTCCTCTACAGGAAACAGCCCCTATGTGAAAGCCACGTCCCCAGTCTCCATGGAGCGAGTTTAAATCTGCACCAGTTCAGCTGAGCCAATGGCTCTCACAGAATTGCTAGCAACACCCGTGGCATTTTCACACACGCCAGGAAACATGGGGGCCAGATGGTCAGCCAGGCCGCAAAGCAGAGTTCTCCTTCTCCAGTTCCTCATCCCCTTGGAGCCAACTCTCACTCCTGAAATACCCCGTCCTCCATGAAACCTTTCTGGAATTCTCTGGAAAGGAAGTGACAATTTCCTTCATGCCATTTCCCATTCCCTCAACACCCCTCCCCCACAACCACAAACAAAATGGAAACTACCCCAGGAACAGCTGTACCCTCTACTTAAAAACAGCCCCTCCTCCAGCTAATAGTCATCCAGCAGCAAATTTGCATGCTGTACCACGTGACCAGTGGTGTGTATTTAAGAGACAGAGGGCCAGAGTCAGGGGTCCGATCTGTAGCCATGGACGGAGCAGAAGTAACCCATCCGTGGGATTTCCCCACAACCTTGAGTCCACTCGGCGAGCTGAACCCTCCTCCTTGAGCAAATGACCAGGGAAGGGGACCTGACCACAACTATTTTGTCAGCTCCTTCTCCTCTATTCCTTTCTTTCCACCACCCCCTCCACTTGAGATGAAATCAGGAAGAGGGAGGGAAAAAAATAAAAGTTTTGCAAGCTCTGTTGGTTGGGGTTTCTCTGTGCTTATTTACAAGAAACCTAGCTTCCTTCCTTGGCCCTCAGTCACTGCCTGATTCCAGCGGAGGGCTTGTCACAACTCCGATGGTGAGGCTGGCCCAGAGCTCTTCTCCAACTGCCCCCTGCGCTTTCTTAGCTCCAGTCCTTCCCCTACCTTCCCAGGCCCGAGCTGTCCTAGTGGAGGAGCAATTAGGGCTGTAGGAGATGGCGGGCCACAGGCAGAGACCCATCAGCCCACCCACGGTGTTCGCTGCAGTTGGGGGAGGAGGAGGGAAGCCCTCTCCTTGCTGCATCCCAACGAGATGTGTG